TACAAATACTTAGTATCAAATATTTAAATTATTTCCATGCACGTTTACTTCAACTTAAACGTATACCAAATTCCTACAAACATAAAATTCACAAAATAACTATCATTTAATTAAAATATCACTAAACCATGTACACGTCGACTTATTTTTACTTAAAAAAAAACATCCCAGAATTGCACAAAAATGGCATTGCGCACACTCTTCACTATATCCATGTACACTACACTGCTTTTTTCTCATAAATTAGAAAAATTTCACGAAAATACATGACAATTTTTCTCAATCTTTAAACCCGGTAAAAAGAACATATATGAAATTACCTGATCGCGAAAAAGTATTTACCCTTTCCAAATATGAACATTTCCACATATAAAATAAATAAAATATCCAAAAACTTTTACCTCTAAATCATCTATTATATTATACACGTCACCAACGAATTCATACCGCAACATTACAAATAAATACTTAGTGTCAAATATTTAAATTATTTCCATGCACGTTTACTTCAACTAAAACGTATACCAAATTCCTACAAACATAAAATTCACAAAATAACTATCATTTAATTAAAATATCACTAAACCATGTACCGACTACTTAAAAAAAATCCCAGAATTGCACAAAATGGCATTGCGCTCTAATATCCTTCCTCTCCAGTCCAATCCCGTAACTTATGCCAAATTCGCCAAACTCAGTTACAATTGAAAGATCACCCTACTTCCAGTATATAACAGATAACTGAGTTTACAAATTTCTCCTTGAAATTAACCTGCTAGCACATGTACCAAAATTACGAACACAAGAAGGCGCACTGGGTATGTCATAACCGAAAGCAATTAACACACTTTAAATTGCATTAATGATATAAATATGAGTATAAATGTGAATTAACATAAAAAACAATGAACTTTAGAATATTTTAAAGCATATAATAAATGAAGTACTTACAATTAATTTGCACATCTTTGGCATATTGAACACATATGCTCCATACAAATACTGATTTTTTTCGTACAGAAAATGTGTCTTTCTGTCCTCGTTTTTAGGGCACTCAGCGCATCTTCCGTAAAAGTTTTTCCTCTTTTCAGATGGTAGTTTGATGTTGCAATCTCCTGAAATTATTTTGGCTAATTTTTGGAATATGGTAATAGGTAGTTTGGCGACATTTTGGTAAGCCAATAAAGGTTACTAGCTAGGACTTTAGCAGTGTACATGGATAAAGTCAAGAGTGTGCACAATGCCATTTTTGTGCAATTCTGGGATGTTTTTTTAAGTGAAAATAGGTCGACGTGTGCATGAATATCGTGTATGTGCAATTCTTAAAAACGCGGCAAGCAGTGGGCAAGTCTGCCCTTTCTCCCAATTTCGCACCTAATCTTCGTCCTGATTAAACACTTTTGTTCTATAAAAGTTCTAGTATAAGCGTAATTTGGCTAGCAGATTCTTGGAAAAAATGTTGAGTAAAAAAAAAAAAAAAAAAAAAAAAAAAAAAAATTGCCTTTACTTTCGTGAAAACAAAATGGCGTCCAAAGGTTGCTGTAGCAGAATTGGTCACCAAAGTTTCGATAATCTAAAGATTAACCATTATTTTTTCTTTTAGTTTCAAATGGAGCATGATTTGCTGCTGCCATTGATTTGAGTAATCTATCCACTAACTTCAGTCGCGATGATTTGAGAAAAGAATGCCTGTTTCTAAACTGAGTTGTTGGTTCTTTTGTAGAAAGTAAGATTATTTGTGCATTAACTGATGCAACATTAAAAATCGAGAAAAAATCACCATAAGTCACCATTTCAATACTCTAGTTGTAGAATATGCTGCTTCTATTTCATCTACAACATATGCTGCTCCTTTGGTTAGATTATAAAATGAAATAATCTCCGGCTTTTTTAGTACTCCAGTGGTTTTGTCAACTTTATTAACGTTGTGCATACTTGATAGTAGAACAACACGGTTTTTCTTGGTGCATAAGGAAACAATCTTTGTTTCTTTTTGGAAACCAATATATGAAGATTATGCTTTCTGTTTCTTCGTTAGAAAATTCAGTGGAATTTCTCTCTTATTCTTTCTCACAGTTCCGACTATAGTTATTTTCTTCTTTAGTAGGTCCTGAGATAGCTGGCATCCCATATACCAATTATCTACCGTCAAGTTCCGTCCAGAATTGTACAATGGTTCCATTAAATGCTTTACAATAGCACTTGCATTATTATCAAACTGAAACGGCCCCTTCGGCTGCTGGCCGGCGTATATTTCCATTTTCCATGTATAAAACACTCTGGAATCAAACAGTGCAAATATTTTTATGCCATATTTGGCAGGTTGTTTTTGCATGCATTGCCTAAATGAACATCTTACCCTGAATGGTTTTAATTTTTCATCAATTGTTACATATTCACCTACAGTGTAGGCTTTATGACAGTTCTCAATGAATTTTTCAAAAAAGCTGCCTTATGAGAGCGAGTTTATCCGCATCTCTTCTACTCGGACGATCTGGGATATCATTAAACAGAAGGCATCTTAGTAGGAAAAGGAATCGCTTGCAGGACATTGTTTTGTGGAAAATATCTATTCCAATTCCATCTGTTGCCCACAGATCTTTTACACAGACGTGAGAGGATCTGTGAACACCACAAATATACTAAAGTCCCAAAAGTGCTTTGATTTCACATTCATCCATTTTCTTTGTATTGTGCTCACGTGCAAACTGCTCCTGAATGGAATCACTGTAAATATTTGTACATTGAACTATTATTTCTATCATGTCTTTGTCAATGAGCAGAGATCAGGAATCTAATGGTGTTGATGCATCTTTCAAATAACCAGATTTTCTGGAATTTTGAAGATAATGTTTTTAGAACTAGTCCTAACATTCATTCGGAATTTGTTTTTCTTCCATATCAGGCCATTTTTAGCAACATAATTTTCATCATTTCATTAATTTTCTAATTCACTATCTAATTTAGTGTCTGTATCACTGTCTGTTGATGAATTACGATTGCTGTCGTATTCTTCATCTATTAATTCTTCCTCCTCTTCGTTAAACGATTCATCATCTATTGAAATGGTTTCTAGCATATTTCACAACCTTTCCATTTCTTTATCATAACTTAGATGCACCATCATGCTCACTAACTAAGAAAGTGAGGGTGAAAATCTGACACACGAGAAGGCGCGCCGGTGTCACATACTGAAACGGTACGATTCCTAGAAACGTATCCAAAGAATCACTCCATGGACTTCCCATCTTTAAGAATGTGACCTTGAATTCAGATACAAAAGGTTTCGCCCATTTCCAGGAAATAAGGGACAAAAAATATGCCCCTGGGTATGAGATACACGGGTTAATTTAATCATCAAATATTTCGCTCTTTCTACACCATATATTTACAAATCATAAGTAATTTGCTAACAGACTTTGACACATTTGCATTTTTCATATAATTTTGTCATTATTTAATTCGCTATATTTATATTTTGCACCCTTTCTTTAAAAAAAGTATGAAGCATATCTTACTTACTATGACCAGTTATAAAGAAAAAGGGACTAATGAGGGTCATACGGAATTCTGTCAGAAAAGTGCGGAAAATATCCAATTTTACAAGAGATTAAGAAACGTTGGTACTTTCTGATTATCCACAGTTAAACAAAAAGTCACTCATTCATTACTTTGTGAATAGAATAAAAAACATTTGCTTGGATAATTTTATGACTCACAGGGTCTATTCTGATAATAAATAATAATAAAAGAAGCATTTAATAAGAAACAAATTTTATAAGGGAAAAAATATGTATGGTTTATTTTACAGCGGTGGATGCTATTCAACTGCAGCTTTTTCAGTATTAATACTTAACATTTTATATAGAAATACAGTTTCATATATCAAAAGCATAAATTGATAACATCATCCTTTATGAATGGGCTGTGGGTAATCAGAAATATCAAAATATTCATTGTTCAAAAGGATATATCTAATACAGCCACTGTATCTCATAATTTTGATGAAAATTAAGGTCCAATATAAATGACTAGAATTTTCAAAACAAATGACAAATGGATGCAGTTTTATATAGATAATTTTACGATTTTTAAAAAATGTAGCTACTGATGGAAAACACACACATATATATATATTACACCCTTATCATGAAGATAGAAATTAAATTTAATATTAAGATAAACTGTATGAAAACAAATAAGTTACAGTCTTCTTCAACAAAAATTGGATAAAGTGTAGAATTGGCCAATTATATGGTGGGTATCGATGTGTACATGGACAAAGCACAGGAGTGGGCAATGGCAAGTTTGTGCAATTATCTGATACATATATATATATATATTTTTTAAGTGAAGAAAGGTTGATGTGCACATGGATATTGAGTCTGCGCAATTCTTTGACTTGTTATTTTGAAGTTGATGCAGAATCGACCCACTTATATGGTGCGTATCACTGTGTACATGGACAAAGTCAATGGAGTGTGTAATGCCAAGTCTGTGCAATTCTCTGATATTTTATTAAGTGAGAATAGGTCGATGTGTATATGGATACCATGTTTGTGCAATCCTTTGACTTGTTATTTCCAAGTTGGCGATTTTGAGAAGTACGCAAAGCAGTGGGTGATCCTACACCCCCAAAAAAATTTCAATGAATATATTGGGTACTTAATTAATAAGTTTAAATGTTTTCATGATTTAAAATGGTACTGTTTTCAGGAATGTGTGTATATATACTCATGTATGTATGCATGCATGTGTGGATGCACAAATGTGTGTGTGTGTATACATATGCGCACATAAATCCATACATACATGCATTTCTGAATCTGGTCCCGATAACAGAACACTACCTTTAAAACTCAGTTAACACTCTGTACATCGTTTTAAAATTAATCAATATAAATTTTATGTGTAGTGAAACAAAATATTTTAAATGAGGGGAAAATATTATAAATACATCACACATTTATAAAATGTAAGGTGAAAAAATAACTTCTTACCCTTTCGAGATCCAAATTTGTGATAATACAGCAGTGTCATATCTGCATCAGCTAGAATTACATACAAAAAGAACACCAGAACCCAAACAAAAAACACACCAAGAAAAATATCAATTAAAATCATAGTTCAAACTCAAATCTTCAATTGCTATTGATTTATAAAGGTACCGAGGCACATGAATATGATGAAAATTAATTTAGCCTGTAAAAAATGAACACTATTTAATATTTCTTACATGGCGTAAAACAAGGAAAAATTACACACTAACAATTTCGCTAAAACCCGCCGGGAAACGGAAGAAATATCTAAAGCCACCGCCAGAGACTCATCGAACTTCAGACTTCGCCGATAGATGGAGGCACTTTAGCGGACCTGCTAAGACCAAATTCAGGACTGTTTTCTCAATAGATATCCGCACAGGAGCCGTCTACGGCACACAGGATATGCATTTATTTCTCCCATCAATTAGTATGGGCACGAACTTTTAGAAGGATTCTTTTTTTAGGGTAGGAAATTATCCGAATAGTATTCAATATGCCACGGATACGGCGTTCGGGGGTTTATCGTCGACTGAAGATTACAGTATCTTCAAATTTATGATTTCTACCATTACTTCTGGCCTGTCATGTTTCTGGCCCTCCTTTTCGGAGTCTTTTCTGACAGGACCTTTCATACTTAATGACCTTTGTAGCACATTTACTTCACGATAGCCAGAATCGTCGTGCGGAACGCACGTTTTCTAAGTATTAGTAAATTTAAATCCACAGTCATATTTCTTTCATAAAAGGGGTTTTCTTCCGCAAAGAACCCATTGGCGAAAGTGATATTTTTGTCACCAAGCTCGCCAAAAGTAATGGTTTAGCGATATACAGTTACGTTTTAAAATAAAACATGATATAAAACATATGTAAAATAAATTTAGAAATTTAAACACAATATTTGATGCACAGAGTGACATTAAGCGCAGGTATGTTAAATTTAGCTAAAAATTAGCTGGTTAAACGTATTACGTACATGTAAGTCAAGTGTAGCTTGTTAAACATAATACAATTAACTGAAATGCATGGTATTAAAATAAATTAGAATTAAAAAAGTAAAATAAATATTTTTATTATTATTGAAACAGCCTATGAATATCTATCTCGATGGTAATGATTTGAGAGAGAGCAATCTGGCTGAAGAAGATAACTTTTCTGAATATAATGCTTTAGATGTAGCATTAATTGAACTCTCTTTAAATTTTTTTAATGCGCAAAATTTATGGATCAAAAGATCTTTTTATAAAATAAGACAGAAATAATGCATTTTGTTTCACAGACATTTTTAAAGTTAAGAAGGCGCTTAAACGCTTTGAAATTAATGCACGTAGGATCACTTTCACTTCAACTCCATAGTCTATGAAACAGCAAATCGCGGATATGGTCGAAATAAAAGTGGAGAAAGATCAGGTTATAGTTTATACTTATTTATTTAGCGTTTTAATTCTGTTCTTGTTTGTTATGAAAGAGATATTTACCTTTTGTAATGTATAAAGGAATGTTCTGTTTTCCTTTATTAATGCGTATTTCCTTATTGATACGAGACCGCTTTTGTTGTGTTTTGAAGATATTTTGTTTTCAGCTATACGATATATTGTTCTCTTCAGTTAACGTAAATTTTGTGAATCTTAAAATTATAATGACATTTTTATTAGATGGATGTGGAGGAAGCTGTTAAAGGGGAAGGACTGAAGCAGTATTATATTACAAAAATTGAAGAATTGCAAGTAAGTAATTTAAGACTTAACAATAGTGATTTTTTTCGCCGACTTTATGCTTTCGTGTCACTAGTTTTGATAACTTTTCTGAGAACATATGGGTTTATTTTATCAGCTTATCGTATCTGAAAAGACCCAGAATTTAAGACGACTTCAAGCTCAGCGAAATGAACTCAATGCTAAAGGTTAGTAGTTTCTAATTTTACTGGTGTAAAAGTTCCCATTAGTATTCAGTTTTATCTCTAGAATAATAGTTTTTAATTGTTTGCATTAGATACGAAATTTTTAAGCATACTTTTTACAGTGCGCATGCTTCGTGAAGAATTGCAGTTATTACAAGAACAAGGTTCTTATGTTGGAGAGGTTGTGAAACCAATGGATAAGAAGAAAGTCCTTGTAAAGGTAAATAGAATATGTAAATGTAATTTTGCTCTTCAAATTAGCTTGTGCTTAAAATTAAGCTCCCCCCTCTTTTTTTTAAGTAGAATGAAAGCAGCTTTGCCACTGTCCCTTTATTTATCTCATAATTCAGACCCAATTCAGTAAATAAATGAATATATATATGTATGTAAGATATAACAAAATATGATGGCTGCTGTAAAAAATAATTGGCGACCTCAAAATTATCATTCTAAATTTGATACTCTTTCCCCTCAATTCATGTGCTCTCCCAAATTCGAGATCATTCCAAATTACATAGCACTGCTTGAAAGAATTAAAACTAATATTGACCGATCATAGCTTAGTATGCTACCTAAGCCTACTAAATATAAATACCAAGTCACAAGCACTACACTTTACTTTTTTCCTAACTTCTGCCATGCAAATAACTCCGCACCTTTTATGCTTCTCTGCCTAAAATACTGTCGTAGCTTTTTGTGTATATAAAAATTATCTGTATTCAACTATGATCAAAAAGTAATTTGTCTTCCAAAGAAATAATTTTTGATGTGCCTAAAAATAAAGATGGCGATTCACCGAAATTAGTTTTGTCAACGTCTTATTCCTGCCTTATTCACCCAGCTGTGTCAACAGCCAGAAGTTAAAAGTGCTGGATTCATGACTGCACACTTAGTATATTACATATATATATATATATATATATATACACACACTCTCACATATGCATTTTGGAAGGTAAGAGGTGCATATTTTATGCAGCTGAACTAGTATCAAATATATTTTCATTAAAAAGGAATTATCAGATAAAAAAGGTTAAACTTCTATTACATAATTTATGAAACAAATAGAATGAAATTTTTAGAAGGTAATGCAGATATTAAATTTTAATAAGGAAAAAAATTGTGAAAATATTTAAAATGTATAGTGAAATATAATTTATGAGAAAAGGAATATTTCACAGGACCTCTCATTTCTTATTTGTTTATTGTAATTAAGATAACTATCTGTGACCTTAAGGAATCAAATGTTAGTACAAAACAAAGCCTGACATATTTTATAATTCCTTTATTATTATATGTATTTAATTGTTCTCAAAGTATTCCATATGCATTATGCATTTCTTCTTAAATATTAATACAGTCAAAAGTCTTTAATCCGGACTCGTCGGGACTTCGGCGATTCCAGATTATCGATTTTTCCGGATTATAGATCATCAGTTTAAATCTGGTAAGATGGCATGCAGAAATTATAAAATTAAAAATATGAGACCGTAATTTATAAAATAATGAGCAATTATGATCTAAAGGGTATCAAAATTTACAAAAAAAAGAAGCTTAATATTTATTTGTTTACTTTATTAAACATTTCTTTCAACGCGCGCATGCGTAAAGCATACCTTACGCATAGCCGAAATTAGAATATTGCAACCAGAAAACTATTTGATTTGTATTCGTGATATTTATAATGACGAGGAATTTGATTTTAATCATATCAAAGACGGAGTACATCGAGATTAAATACTACATTTAGTAAGGAATTATAAGCCGAATAAAATAAAAACATCTGCCCTGAAGATAACGATAGTGCTGACAGATCTTCCAGTTCATTGCGCGCCGCGACGTCCCCCCCCCCCGCGCAGAGCAGCGTGAAATTAATAAACAGATTTTCGAACGGTTAGATAAACAAAGGATATGGCTATATCCATTTTTTGTAGGAATTCGTTTTTTGTTTGATGGACATCGAAACATACTTTCGTTTTCTAGATCCTTTGGGAGCTCCAGCATCGGAAATTCTATTTGACATAATCGAAAGTGCAAGCTTACTTTTATAAAATTGTTCTTACAGTCTGCAAAAAATAATAAGCCGGATCCAATTCGAAGATTAAGGAACAACGCAATCATCAACGTTAACTGAAATAGATAATTAGAGCTTATACCGTTCATTATACATTAAACGCGCACGCGAAAACGTATTCTACGCTTGCGCAAACGCATATGCGCAGTCGTAAATGTCTTGCGCGCACGCGTAAAATGCCTATATGCATGCGTCAACGCGGCGCATGCGCAGAAAGATTTTAGCTTTGTGGTCCGGATTATGGGTGTCCGAATTAACGACTTTTGACTGTGTTTCAATCTTTTATAATTGAAGTAAATGCTATAACATATGTTGTATTTCTGAATATAATAAAATATCTTTGTAGTAAAATGTTTACTGTTTTTCCCCCTTAATTAGGTTCATCCTGAAGGAAAATTTGTTGTTGATATTGACAAAAATATTGATATTAATGATGTAACACCTAACAGCCGAGTTGCTCTTAGAAATGATAGTTATACACTTCATAAAATTCTTCCAAATAAGGTGAGGTTTTTCTGCCTTCTTTTTGTTGCAAATTTTAAGATACTTAAATTTATTGTAATTTAATGAATATGACATAAACAGTATGGTTTAATCATTTGTCACTATAACAGAAGAGAAACCCTAACTTAAAACTGTTTCATATGTCTAAGAGATATACTTGAATAATTGTGTGTATTTAGAATGGTAATAAATTGAGGCTTTATTTTATCAATAATTTTATCGAGTTTAATATGATATTTCTCTTAATTTATGGGCCATTCGCTAAATGCTGACATTTCAGTTTTTTGCATTCAAAGTGTATAATTTCCTTTAAAAATGAAAGCACTTGTTATGGTACGTTAAAGGTAAATGAAAAACTGGTTGATTATAAATAAGTATGTAAATGCTATTGCAGTGTTAAGTTGCAAGACGAATTGTCAAGTATGTTACCATATGAAATTAATCAAATTTCTTAGCTTTAAACTCTACTAAAGCTTCCAGAATCAACTTACTTTGAAGTGTCTTGTTCTCAAAGTTCAAAACAGGAAATTTGTTAGCAATACTTAAATCAAGTGACATTTATAATACTAGTTTTGACTATATCGAAATTTGTTTGACTATATCTGAATTTGTGCTTTTTTGTTATAGTGGCCCCTGACTATATTTGGCAATTTTAGATTTGTTCCAAGATCTCAAATATAATTTCTCCAAGCTCATGAAGCCTAGATGTAAAAATAAACAATTATGATATATAATACTCGCATGTCATTTTCTAAGAATATTTTTAATAATCCTATTTCTTATCCTTGTTATTTTATTGCGTGTAATTGTTCCAGTCAACTTCAACATTTTCACGTATATTAAACTGTTTGTTACACTATTTCATGGACATAATTGTGCCCAAGAATATATATATGTAATAGCAGTGACGAGCGATATTCTGGAACTGCTCAACCAATTTCCAACACCCTTCTTTTTTGCAATTTTTAACATTGCATCTCCAAATGGTTTCAACATTAACATAAAGTTTCATGTTGTGGCCATTTTCACATACGCATTTGTCAGGTAAAATACTTCTTTTTTGAAAAAATGATATGGCATCCACCTCATCACTTGGTAAATTAAAGATTGTTTACATATGTTGGAAAAAAAAAAGCAATGAATATATTTTTAAATAAACATTGCACATTCGACTATCTCGAAAAATTAAAAAGCAAAAATGTAGCACAATGCTAATATACCATTACGAGGTGAGATATAAGAACATGCAGCTGACACTAGTATATGATCACGTGGCGAGGTATAAGAACATGCAGCCAATGCTAATATACGATCACGTGGTGAGAAAGCTCGGTTGATTGGCAATTCAATCTCGGGGGCCACTATAATTAAGAAGTACTTCATTTTCTAATAATAATAATGTAAATTATATGAAAAATATTTATCTATTTTGTAGCTAAAAAATAAGATAAGGGAATGTAAAAAATATATTAATATGAAAATATCTTTAAAAAATGAGTGGTAACAGACTTGACATATGGTATTGGATTTAACATAATCATTTACCGAATGTCAAGTCTCTTATTATTTAGTGTTTAATGGTATTTTTAACTTTATATAAATTTCATTCATTATAATATTTTCTTTCAACTGAGGTATAGGATAAATATTTTGCTATTCTATATTCAAATAAATTCATATATTTGAATAAAAAAATATATGGTACTATTCCCTTTTGAGGGCCGTAAAAAAATTGCAGCGAAAATGAATGCGCAAAAGCGCCAAATCTAGCAAACGCGCCCATTTAACAGCGCACCAAATCTAGCGTACGCACTGATTTCAAATTGCGTTTCTATAGTTCTATATTTCTTAAGACGTCATTGAAATACTAGTTTAATTTTTAAATCCTTTTTTGATATCCTATGGATTTAACAATTTGGGAATTGCCCATGATGAAAAGTCGGCAATAGAATTTTGGGTAAAGTGCAGAATCACCCACTGCTTGATGTGTTTTTAAGAATTGCACATACTCGGTATCCATGTACCTATTTTCACTTAAAAAAAAAATCCTAGAATTGCACAAAAATGGCACTGCGCACACTTTATCTATGTACATATCAACCTATTTTCACTTAAAAAGTAAAAGAAAATTGATAAAAAATCCAATTGTTTTTACCCTTGTAAAAAGCGGCAAACAAATAAGTGAGCGATTCTGCACTTTACCGAGAATATTTTCAAAGAAAAGGCATCATTCATTATAGAAAATTGCATTTGAACAACCAACGAGATGAAATTATGCTTTAGAGATAAGCCGGTAGCGAAATAACGATGCAGGCATCCATTCAGTTATGTTTAGCAATTTTTATATAAATTATAATAATGATCTGAAATAGTTATTTACTCTTATGCTTCCATTCAGTCATATTTAGCCTTTTTCATATAAATTATAATAATAAGAAAGTATTATATGAAATTAACCTTTCATGTTATTTAAAAAATCAATCTTAAATAGTTATTTACTATTATACTTCCTTTCTTGCCGCAATTATTTTTGGCAGCATTGGCATCAACAATAGTTTGGCGATTTTTTTTTACGGCCCTTGAAACCGAATAGTACCAAATATATTTTTCAAGTAACTTCACACATAAATGTAAATATTGAAATAGAACTTTAAGTACATAGCTGAGAGGTTACTATATGAAAAAATATAATGCATTTATACATAAAATAAGTGCCTATCATGCATCTAAATATAGCATGACTCAAATTTTATTTTTCATGTGAACTAAGTGTAAGTGGAAATTCGTAAAATATTGTTTTTCCTTATTGTTAGTTTCGGTTGTGGAAGAATTGCTGTAATTTATTCAAAATTAATGTATATGTCTTTTTCATTAATGAAATACTTTCCTTTGCAGTCATTTGTTTGAGACACATAATTTTTATTGCATTCTCCTCATCCATTTTGTTTTGGATTACTCTAATATACATGCATTAGCCCCCCTCCCACTTCTTCGTATAAAATTTGACAATAAATAACACTTTCGTGCTTTTTATCAGCAGATATCTCCTCCAGAAACATAACACATCCTTAGGTTTTTTTATCTATTTCAGAATAAAATTTACTATCAAAAGCAATAGATATTTCACTCTCTGAGGAACTAGATTAGATCTTTTTATGTAGAATATTTTATGTTAGGTTTTCTTTTTTGTTCAGTGTATGTTTTTAAAGTAAATTTCTTTACGAGAAGGCATTCACAAAATCCATTTCTTTTATATTAACTTCCTATAAAAGAATTTTTTTTTTTTTTTGTCATTAGTAGTTATTTGATGTACAGGGTGATTATAATTAAAGTTTAAGTTTCAAAACGTTATAAAAAAAGAACCACTGATGAAAATGATGTCAAATTTGAAAGGAATGTTATTGAAGAAGGCTGAAAGCGTATGGCAGAAAAAAAAATTTAGTTTCAAAAGTTAGCAACAGATGGCGCTGCAAGTGGAAGAAGACGTAAATTAAAATGTTAGTTAAATTTCAGTCTTATAAAGCCGCCAGGTACCAGGCTATTTCGCGTCTCAGACGTTCGCCATGGGTGTTTCACTGCAGGACCACGCTCGGCTGGTAAAGCTGTATTACAAGAATGATGATTGTGCAAGAATAGCTCTGCAAAAATTCAGGACACTGAAGGGTATAAAAGAAGGCATTGGTCCAATGAGTGTTGTAGGTCTAAAGAAAATTATGCAAAAATTCGAAACGACAGGTTTGTTTGATGTGCAATCTGGTAGAGGGAGAAAACGAGTGCATTCGACGGTAGTTGAAGAAGTGGCCACAGCATTACAGGAGGGGTCGGCCGGTGGTGTGCAACCAGTGCAGTGCACGAGGAATTGCCCGAACATTGGACAGGCCTACGAGCACGGTGCTGAAAATTGTACGAAACATCCTGCAATGCTATCCGTACAAAATTGGCCCTGTGCAGGAGTTGCTTCCGTCTGACCTGACAGCTAGGGAGACGTTTGCGTTAGAATTCCTGGCTCGCATGGAAGTGGATAATGAATGGCCGTGGGAAAATTTTGTGGACAGATGAAGCCCATTTCCATCTGACAGGATACGTGAATACCCACAATTATCGAATATGGGCAACAGAAAATCCACTGGCAATGCACCCCGTACCACTTCATCCTGAAAGGGTCACGGTATGGTGTGGCTTTACGGCATCATTCATCCTACGACCATATTTTTTCGAGAAGACGGGTGCTTCCGGTCCTGTTACCTCAACCGTCACTGGTCACACGTATGTGTCTCTTTTGCTCTACTACGTGATTCCAGCTCTGCAACAGCGTGGATGTGTGGATGAAATCATTTTTATGCAAGATGGCGCTCCTCCGCATATTGCACATCCCATGAAGCAGCTGAGGCGCCATTTCGGAAATGCTCTAATTATCAGCCGTCATTGCCCTACAGCCTAGCCATCCCAATCGCCTGATCTTACTCCGTGTGATTTCTGGCTGTGGGGATATCTGAAGGATGTTGTGTTACATACTCCAATTGCAAATTTAGCGGAATTAAAGGCACGCATTTCGCAACACATTCTGAACATCACCCCGGAGACACTGCGATCCGTTGTGGAACATGCTGTTTGTCGCTTTCAACTTGTTGTACACAACGGTGGACACCATATCGAACATGTTTTGCGCCAGTCTCGCGACAGTTCCGAACTTCTTTGATGAATGTTTCTTACGCGGTATGTCGCCGCAAAACTCTTGAATCCGATTTGTCCCTTTCGATGTGATATGTACAGTCATGCAAATAAAATTATTCAACAATTCTAATTTGTCAATGCGTTTTAATGTGTAACTTCCACCTTAGCTGTTGTTTTACAAATCATTTCTCATTTCTCGTTGTGATTCTGCCACTTACAGCGCCATCTGTTGCTAACTTTTGAAACTAAATTTTTTCTTCTGCCATACGCTTTCCGCCTTCTTCAATAACATCCCTTTCAAATTTCACATCATTTTCATCAGTGGT